AGCCCGGGCAAAAGAGTGAGACTCTGTCTCAAAAAAAAAAAAACAACAACAACAACAACAAAAATATATATATATACCTGGAAGACATTTTCTCAGCAAATTACCAAGCTTAAAGTTAGTACAGATAGATAAAGAAATGGAAAATATGAAAGAGGTTAAGAGATGCAGAAGATAAATGGGAAGGGCCAACATATGTCTAGTAAGTATACCAGAAATCAGGCCTAGTAAGAATGGGGAAGAGGTAATATTTGAAGGGAGAATGGACGAGAATTTTCAGGGTTGCTGAATGACCTGACTCTTCAGATTAAAGAAGCACGCTGAGTCTTAAACAGAATTTGTAAAAATTAAACCATGCTTTTTCAGAAATATATTTCAGTACATATGGGAACTTAATATGTGATAAAAGTAGTGTTGAAAATCAGGGAAATTAGATTGGACTTTCAATAAATGATGCTGATACAACTGAGTAACCATCTGGAAAAAAATTGTCATACCATTTATGAGGATAAACTCCCATGAGTCAAAGAAGAAAAATGGGCGAAGGAAGGCCTTTCTTATCTAATTCAAAATCCATAAACCAGAAAAGGAATGGTTGATAAACTGAATTCATAAAAAGCAAATGAAAACTCAAAAATTTCTTTTTGGGAAAAAAACATCATGGGTAAAGACAATTCTATGATTTACATCCCTGTCCAATAGTTTTCTTAGGATGGTCCTAAAAGTGCTCTTGTGGTTCAAAGAGTAACACCTTGAAATTTTTGGTGCATGTTGTTGAATTACCCTTCAGAAAGCCTGTTGCTTTTTAAAGAGTTTGTCATTTTTATATTTTATCATTGATCCAGTTGTAGATTTTCGGAAATAGTGGACAATACAAAGCCTCTGAGTTAATCTGTTCTTTTTTTCTTTTAGGCATCAGGTGCATGAAAAAGAAGAGTTCAAGGCTTTGAAAACGCTAAGTATTTTCTACCAAGCTGGGACTTCCAAAGCTGGGAATCCTATTTTTTATTATGTTGCACGGAGGTAAATACCATGTTTTAGTGTTTCTTAACAGAATTTTAAAAAATGATAACAAATGTAGAAAGACAGCAAATTTGATTTTTCCTTTTTAACTTACCAGGAATTGAAGACAAGTTTACCTGGGAGTGTATAGCTGGGTAAACAGCCATCCTGTCATAGGATGATGCTCAGTATATTAGAAATTGCTTTTCTGACTACCCATTTCATATTAGCTTTCCCATATCAAATTTTAAAATACTATCTACAATGGATTAATTACTAAGAGTAAAAAACCGCAAAGAATGTTTTGTCTTCAGGTATATTCTGATTAAATAGTATCCACTACATTATAATCAGAGACTTTTTTAAAGAACAAATAAAACTTAAGCCTATTCTGAGAACTTTTAGTAATATGCTATATAAGACAGCATCAGGGTGATTTAGAAAATAAATCAGAGGAGCTATGGGAAATCTCTATAAAATTGACACAGGAAACATCCTGGAAAATTGTATTTGTTCTTGCTATCCTCAGTCAAGGATAGTTCCTAGAAAGCTTTTCTGGAAATGCTGTGAGCTCCTCCTTTATAGGAGATACGATGCTTGCTTTGCTTTTGCTACCGTTGTCTTTTTTCTTTCTTGCCTCATTTTGCCTTCCTTTTGAAAACTCATCTGTGACATTATTTAGTCAATTTTACTCTCTCCATTTAGCATGACATAAATTCATGGTAATGGAACCTTAGAGATAACACAGTATAATAGACCACTGACTTTGGAATCTCAAGGACTATGTTCTGCTGTTCATTGACTATAGGATTTAGTATGAGTTTCCTGAATGAACAGAAATTGTGGAATTGTGTTAATAGACTTAATGGTCATGGGCAGCAAATACTTGGCAGTGTATAGGAAACAAATTGAGGTTGAGAAATAGTGGGGAGAGGGGTGAAGAAAGACAGGTGAAAGATGGGAAACTTGTTTAATCAGATAGTTCAGGTAGCCTTAAGGCCAAGAAGTCCACAGAACTTATTCTCTAGATTAGGGAACCTAGAGAATAAGAAAAATCGTATTTCTCTTTGTCCCTCCTCTTTCACAACACTTGAGTAACATTTCCTCACTTTCCCATGAAAGTCCTCTCTCCAGCTCTCATTTCGTTTACCGTTTCTAACTTGCCTAAGATAATTCTAATTTTCTTTTGCACTTGGGATGCACCGTATTTGTATTCCAACCTCAGCCTTTAATACAACCAGGAGACTTTGACTTTCCTTATTTTGTCTAATTAAAAAATAAACTTTGATGAGGGAGATGGATAGATGTGTGCCCCCCGCCCTGCTCTCTTTTGAATTCTTATTGGTTTAAAAGTAGCAAACATTACCAGAAAACATCAAAGCTGGGCTTTTTCTACAGGATCAGAAACTGTTAAATTTGTATTCCTTCTCTGTGGTAATCTAGAAAAGGCTAAAGGAAAGCAGGGATGGGTCTGATGCAGACCCCTCAGTGGGATTAAACCAGTGAGGTTTCTACAAAACCTGTCAAATATGGTGGCTTGAAAGTGCCGAGACTTCTCAGCCCTGCTGCTTATTAGCTGCATAATCTTAAGACAAGTTAGTTTATTTTTCTGAATCTGTTTCTTCATATGTTAAAAAGGAAAGGATGCACTTATAAAAACTTTCTACCTCTCCTGTAAAGTGTTTTCTGACCTATACAGTAGTTGTATACAGAATAAGTTTAAGGCTTTCTATCTTTTTTTTTAAATATGATCCTGTCAATTTGAGATTTTTTCAATCCTTTTAGTTTCTTACTTAGAGCTACTAGAGCTCCTCCTGGCCTTCATTTTCACCTGGTGTGAAGCCTTAGCTTTGGGACAGATGGACGCACAGTAGATCAGACCAGAGAGAAGCCCAGTTATTCCAGCATACAAGTCCAGAAGTTGGAGAAGGCCTTGAATCTATACAGCCAGCTTTATCAAAGGGCACTTGGGTTTGACTTTTCTTTTGATATACCTGTGTTTCCGTGGCTTAGATTACCATGTATTAGGTAAAGTTTTTTGAATTATAGATTTCAATCTCCTTATAGGTAGTCCACAGAGATTTCAAACTTGAAATGTCTAAAACTTACTTTAGTGTATATTCAGATCAGCCTCCTTTTTACATTATATTCTCAATAGCATCACCATCCCTTCCCATTCCCCATCTAGAAACCCTAATCATTTTAAATTCCTCCTCTTTCTCTTACTGTCCCCATTGTCAGTCACCAAATCTTGATTTTACCTATGAGATCCTGACAAATCAATTAAGTTGTTTTAGTTAAGCCTTTATTGCAAAGAAGTCATTCTTCTTTTCTAAAGAAGATCGTTCTTTAGGAACCGCATAAATGAGAGCAGAGCCTGCTCAGATGTAGACAGAACTAGGTGGCTGTTGGTTCTGGAACCGGCTTATGTTCTTTGAATCTCTCATGGCTTTGTGTTCAACTCTTCCTCAGGATTTTCCTCTATCTGTATCCTTTCAGCTTTAGCCCCAGGTATGATAGTAACCCCTTTATTACCTCAGTATTGCACATCTGAAATTCCAGAAAGAAAATGTGGTTCAGTACAAAAAGTATCTCTATTTAGCAAAACCTTTAATGCCAGGTGCTGGCCAGCCAGTAGATTTCTGGCTGCCCCTAAGTGAAGTTCCTGGCCCAGGAGTCATGTAATTCAAAATGTGACCATGGAGTGCTGTTCCCTTGTCAGGAATTGTCCTTAGGTATATGTTTTAATTTTTGTTTTTTTAAAAATTAGACCTTAACGGTCTAATATTAGGTACCTTGGAAATATCTTTTGAAACAATTTTTTCCCCACCATATTGCTGGAGCTCTCATTATCTCTTACCTATACTAATGCAACATTATTCTCCTCCTCCCTCATCCCCAGGTGACTACTTCTAGGTCATTCTAACATTACTTCTGGAGGCAGTTTCCAGTACACATCTACTCTTGCCTTTCCCATTGACTCCCTGTATAAAGTTGAAGTTCTGTAGTCAGGCACATACAAGGTGCTCCATACTTTTGGCCTAATTTACTTTTCTAAACTTTTCTTGCTGTTCTCTCCTATGTGCTTATGCTCTTCCTCTGTAGTAGTTAAAGTAGCATAAATACAAGGATGATTATTATAGCATTGTTTATAGTGGCAAAAAAGGGAAAACGATATCTGTGTTTCAAAGGGGGAATTGTTGAATAAATGATGATACATCTATATTATGGAATAATGCAATGTGTTAAATTTATTTTGCTTATTACAAGTGGCAGAAATGCAATTGAAATTTGTGTGAACCAAAAAGGAATTTGATACGTGTACGTAAGAAAATCAAGATGTATTAGATTTTCTTGCATGACTAGATGCAGATCTTTGAACAGTATCATCTGGAGAACATCTGTCTTCTCTGGCTTTTGACTCTACGTTCTTTATGTTGGTTTTTTCCCAGGCAGCTCTTCCCAGGCAGTGGCTCGCAGTACTTTGTGTTCTCCCAGCTTAACAACGTCGGTGGAAAAACACCTCTTTCCTAGTAGTTTCAGCAAAAGTGGTTGATCTTATTGGCCTGGCATGAGCCACACATTAGTTCCTGACGCAGTCACTATGGCAAGGGGGATAGAATTTCTTGGTTATCTAGGCTTGGATCATGAGTGCCCATTTTTGGAGCTCAGTGGTGAAGCAAGCCCTACCTGTATTGCATGAACTAAAAGGAGGGTATGCAGGTGGGCAGGGTTTCTTAAAGGAAAATTAGATTGATGATACCAGAATGAGGAAAAATAGATACTAGATAGGCAGAAGTAAGAGAGATCCTATACATATAGCTTTAAAAAGACCCAGAAGGATGACTCTGACACTTACCTTACAAGATGCAGAGTAATATGTTTGTGTATGTGTGCAAATGCACATAAATGTGTATAGACTGAGAAATATGTAAAACTATACACATTAAATTGTTCACATTGTTTATCTCAGAAGTATGATTAGAGGAGGTAGAGGATCACTTATAGTATTTCTGTTATATATCTTTGTTATTATTTGACTTGTTGTCAGGAGCATATATTATTTTTGTAAGAATAATTAAAAATAGGCCGGATGCAGTGGCTCTTGCCCGTTATCCCAGCATTTTGGGAGGCTGAGGTGGGAGGATTGCTTGAGGCCAGGAGCAAGAGTGAGACCCCATCTCTACAAAAAATAGAAAAATTGGCCAGGCGTCATGGCATGTGCCTGTAGTCCCAGCTACTCAGGAGGCTGAGGCAGGAGGATCGTTTGAACCCAGGAATTTGAGATTGTAGTGAGCTATGATGATGCCACTACACTCCAGGCCAGGCAATAGAGCGAGACCCGGTCTTAAAAAAAAAAAAAAAGAATAATTAAAAATACAAAATCCAAAGTTACAATGAAGAGTTTTTATCTTAGGAATATTGTGATACTTGGCAATCACTTTTGGGTGGTAGTAGCAAATAATGATAATAGCTAACATTCACTGAGTACTTAATACTGCATCAGGCAAACTGCACATGTTATATAATTTCTCATTTAATCTTGTAGCTTTCTGAGGTATCATTATTAACAGTAATTGACGTGTATATTAACTGAAACCCAAACCTAGCTATCAGAATGATGTGGGGAATTAAAATAAAGAAATATGTCCCCGGGCCCACCCTTGGCTGCCAAATGAAAATCTCATTTCAGGACCTAATTTATATACTTAACAGGAACCCAAAGGGATGCATTTGTAGTCAGTTTATTACAGATATTTGTTTGGGAATTCCACTAGGTCATGTATTTAACCCACGTAGCACAACTAGTAAGAATGACAGAATTGGGTTTCAAACCTAAGCCAAAGATCTTAACAACTGCACTATTAATAACAAGGTTATTATTACTGTTATATATGTGGGGTAAATCAACCTGTGTAGACCAACATGAAAATCTAACAACAGTTACAAGATTATATTACTGTGGGGAAAATGAGTTCTGAATTCCTGGCATCTGATTTATGAATGACCTTTTGAAACAA